TGTAGCAGCGCGGAGAGTGGGAGATATACGGGGTAACAACTGGGGCTTATTATAAGCAAACAGCGTTTGGAGGCCCATTGATTTGATTTGTGTCAATAATAGGGGGTAAATTTCACGTAACTCCCTCGCGTTTGGGTTATTCTGACATGACCTGATGACCCCCATCGACTTTGTAGATGTTACTTAAGCCCCCTAAGCGACGAACAATTTTTCAAAACAGACCCTTTTAGAGTTTTATTTTTTAAAATTGACCGGTTTTTTTTATTTACCAAAACCGACCCGATTTTGTGATTAACAGCCTAATCACCATCCTAAGTAGTCGGGGTTGGCAACCCCGACTATTTAGGAGGGTATTAAACCCTGATTAGATGCCTTAAACACAAAAAATTAAGGTCCTAAATAGTCGGGGTTGCCAACCCCGACTATTTAAGAAGGTGATTAGCCGGTTAATCATAAAATCGGATCGGTTTTGATAAATAAATAAAAAACCGGTCGATTTTGAAAAATAAAACTCTAAATTGGGCTGTTTTGAAAATTTGTTCCCTAAGCGACATCACAAAACACCTTCAAACCTTTGAATTTTTCCAACGTACCCCCTAACAGCATAATGGCGGTCTGAAACTTTATAATAAGCTTTATGGGGGTTTTCTAAAAATAATGATGAAAGTTTGCTGGATTTTTTTTAAAACGATGTTCGATATGCTTTCAAAAATAGGGATTATGCAAATTGGGTGGGGGCCTCAGTCCAGATGGGCCGTCAAAGCAACACATGGACTGACATCGTCACGGGGATTATCTGTGAAATGCAAAAAACTTATTGGGATCATGTTCGTAAATGCAATAGTTATCTGAGTATTTAGTGCAACTTTAGAAGTTATTGGATATTTACTGTAAAATACTGAAAGTCTTTTAGGAGTTTAGCGTAACTTATCCAATAATAAATCATATCATCATATCATACTCCTTTTAAAAGCACGAGTTCGGAAAAATCTTTCTATGGTCAATATTATCCTTCACTATTTTAAATATTTTATTTATATCTTAATCTATCATAATCATAATTATATCCTATCCTAATCCTACGTGAACTATCTATAACTTAATAATTTAAAAAAATAACATTAATAAAAAACATAAAATATATTCATGGTATTAGTTTGTTAAGATAAAGAAATTATACGTAGCTAACGTACTACAATACATAAAGTATTACAAACAAACCTAAAAGTTTTAAAATTGCACAAAATGCCCAGAAAAGTTTAAAATTATAAAAATTATCCCGACGTCTAAAAACTTAAACAACAAATATAAAAACAAGAAATTAACAGCAGTTCATAAAGAATTTAAAGTTTGCGATTAACATCTCAATATCTTAAAAATTATAAAAACTCCCTTAAATGTTTAAATTACAAACAAACACATGAAATTCTAAAAATTTAAAACTTGCAAACAACATAGATGAATTCAAGGGATTACCATAATGCACCTAAAATTTTTTGAAATTTCAAAACTTAAAACAACAAATATGAAACCAAGAAATTAATAACACCCTCCAAAGAATTTAAAATTTTTAATTAACACCCTCAATTTCCCAAAAATTATAGAAATGCCCTCAAAAGTTCAAATTATAAAAAATCAACCCTAACATTTTAAAATTTTTAAAATTTACAAACAACAAAAGATGAATTCAAGATATTACCTTCATGCACCTAAAATTTTAAAATTTACCGAAATTAACCTCAAAGTTACAAAAGTTATAGAAAAAACTCTTTCAAAATTAAAAAATCATAAAAAACTCTAAAATTTTAAAATTTATAATCAGTACACACCAAATCTGAAAACTATTGGTAGACCATCTGAAATTTGTATTTTTAAAAATCAATCTATAGTTTTAACAATTACAAAAAGCAACCTCAAATTTTTAGAGTTGTAAGAAATATCGTGACATTTAAAAATTACCACCGACACATGAAACATAGAAGTTATAACTACCAAACTTAAAAGTATTTTTTTAAATGCTCCAAAAGTTTTAAAAATTATAAATCACACCCTCAAAGTTCAAAACCACAAAAAAGCTAAAGTTTTAAAACTTAGCAAATAAAAGTGTAATTGTTAGGTATTCTTTCACTAAGATATATATATATATATATATAATTTCTAATTTAGGGTTTACTATCCATTTTCAGCATCTAAAGATGATACTGGTAAACAAAAGCAATAAGAATTAATTAAAAATATCCGATTAGGGAATAAAAATTTAAAAAAATATTATAGTTTAAAAATTATTGTTACCATATAAATTAAAGCAACTGCATCAATTTTTTTAATAAGTTGGATCAGCAAAACACATTAGTAACATTATTTAATAGATGTTAAAATCCATAAAAAATAATAAAAGATTATAATATAATAGTTTAACATTAATTAATTATAATTTAAAAATATTAATCTCTAATGTTAATAATATTTATAGGGTAAAAGAATATAATAAATTATGTATGGAGAAACTATTAGAATGTTTAGAGATATCCTTCAAAAGAATCAAGCTAATTCCATTGCAAATGAAAAGTAACAAAAATAAATCTAAAATTCAGAAAACATCCATAAATCATTTAAATTAGCATTAACATAAGCCATGTCTATTAAAAAAGCACCAACTGAGTTACATTGAAGAATAATTTAATAACTTTATCCCAATCAAAAAAGAATTCTCTATAGAAGATATAAGAAAAATTAGTAAACATTCATAAATTTCTTACTTTGTTCTTCAAATATTAAAAATATTAAATATTAATATTATAATCTAAGACAAATTGGCAATAAAAAATATAGGTATTTAGTTTAGATCTTTGTGGAAAATAACAGGGATAGAGCAAATATAATATTATTGACGTAACATAAACTCTTATTCGATACACATCGGAAGAATTCATTATAGAGAAAAAGAGGTAACTCTTAATCTTATTTAAGTAATAAATTAGAAATACAAAGAATTTCATATATATGAGATTAATATGTATTCTCATTAAAATAAAAAAATCAAAATTTGTATTTTAAGAAGTTTGTGTTGAACATTGGAAATACATTTAACTTCTTTGTGAAGTTAAATGACAAGATAAAAGATTAACGAGCCCACCAAAGATAACATGACAAAAAAATACAACTCTAGATTGATATCACAATCGAGTAGATGATGAAAACACTACTCTAGAATTTCCCGAGAAAAAGATAAAGGTGAGGAAGGATTGATCTTATCTCAATAAAAAATAAAATATAAGAAATAAAAGATAATATTTTCTGAATATTTTATAGAATAATTTAATTATTTTGAGTGAATTTAGGAATCTTCAGAATAGAGTTTCATGAGTTTTTTTTCAGTACTTTTATATGCTTGTGTAGATGCTTTTATCATATGAAAGTATACTAGAGTTAGCATTAATATTTAATTTATAATTTTTTATGAAGTCTATCAATGATTAGGAACAAACATCATATTCTATTTTGTATCGTTTTAGCATACTTTTAACCAATCATTTTGCCTTATTGGTTTTAAATATTCACGTTCCTTGTATAATATTATTTCAATATTTTTCACTTTTGCAATATTATACTTTCTCAAATAAAACTTAGTTTCATGTCGGTCAAAATAATATAAAAATTTAAATTAGTTTCAAATTATATTTGTTTTCTATCAATTCAAATATCAACATAAAAATTTAAATTAGGTGTATCCCATTTAAACAAACATCAAATAAAATGAATATCACAATATAAAAGTTTAGAGACAAAAGTGAGCATAAACTATTATAGTGAAAGCGAGGAAAAAAATTTAGTTAGAAAATAACCTAAAAATACTTAATCATGGTATTTAACAACGTGCATTGCACATGTATAAACCCTAGTTATTTAATAAACCTTAGCTTTCTTATAACTTGATGTATTTTTTAAGTAAATCCACCTTATTAGTAAAATAAAAATCAAGCAATGAAAGATTTCAGATTGAAAATCTATTTAAACTATATCCCTTCTTTATATATAATGAGAAACCAGTGGTCCTCGTAAAGGTAGAAAAATTATATATGTCATATCAAAATATAGACATGTGTCCCTCTATCTTCTCAGAATATGACAACTGGACGCCTAATCTTATAGTCTTCTAATTAAGAATTATCATCAAATTAAACTTTCCATAAGTAAAAATATTTCTAAAAATTAAATATTTAATAATCCTAATTAAATTACAATATTGCTCATAAAAATATCTCATAATCATATCCCACACTTATATGTAAACAAGTTTTATGCTCATGCTTGCGTTGGTGTGTTATACATGTAGAAAAGGGAATATGGGGCAACTAGCGGAGATCGAACCCACGTAATTAATTTGGAAGTCTAGATGTCTACTTTTTAATATTAGTCCTTTTAGTTACTTTATAAGGAATATTTTTGCAAATTTTAGATTACTCAATAATGGGTTGTTCGCGTTTTTTAAATTTTCGAAGGGTTGTTGGTAATTTTCACGTTTTACATGATTATTTGTAATTTCTATACTTTTATGAAGATGTTTATAATTTTCATATATTTAGTGGTATGTTAGAAATTTTTTTAATTTTTCTTTTTATTTGTAATTTCGAGTTTTAAGGGGGTTGTTTGTAATTTTTTGGATTCTTCAAGGGTTTTTTTGGTAAATTTTTAAATTTTTAGGAGGTTGTTTTTTGTATTTGGATTTTAAAAGTTCACTTGAAATTTTCAAAATTTTTAGGGTTTTTGCCATTTCAAAGTATTCAATATTTGTTTGCAATTTTCTAATATTTTAGAGGTCGTTTGTAATATTCTTAACTTTTAGTCTGTTGGTTATAATTTTCATTGTTAGGGGTCTATCTGTATTTTTTGGATTTTTAAAAGATCATATTTTCCTAGGAGCTTTTAGCAATTTTCAGAAATTTTTGTGCTATCTTAATTAACTTTCTGATTTTTCAATTTT